AATGCTGAGCTGCCGGGTTTGATCCCAGCTGCGGGCCTTGCGTTGGTTTCGACAGTGGTATCGAGAAGCCTACCGACCAGTAAGCAATGGCAAACTACTGGACGTACATTTGCCTAGAAAAACCAACACAACCAATGCTAGGGCTGGTTCTGCAACGTCCTGTAAAGGATACACAAGCAACTTAACTTGTCCTTTTATGTGTCGACGTATGTGGCTTAGGCGTTGCGAAACGAGTTTCATAATGCCGGGGTGCCGTGTTTGATCCCAGCTGCGGATTATTTGTCTTGCGTGGGTTTTGAACTTGGTACGGAGAGCTGACCGTTCAAAAAGCAAAGGCAAACTTTTTAACATATGATTTGCCTACAAAAACCACATCAGCTAAAAAATAAAATGCTGAGGTTGGTTTCGCAACGCCCTGTAAAGGATACGCAACTAACTTTCCTCCTATGCAGTCCCCTCCCCCCCCCCCCCCCTCTTCCCTCCCTTCCTCCCCCTCTCCCATTTTCTTCTTCTAAAACATGAGACAGACCTTCACAGCTGGCTGCGATGAATAGCCTTTCACACAAGTCACGCCACTGTGAAACTTCCTACTCCACTCATACACTTGCGGGACTGACAGGCACGCGTCACTTTCCTTTTTTTTTTTTCTTTGCATTTAATCAATCAATCAATTCTCATTTCACCCCGAGGCACATAAGGCAGAGACAAACTGTCGCCACTCAGTTTGATTCCAACTGACCTAACGTATATTTTCTATATCCTAAGTTTAATTCTATGTGTTAGCACCATATAGCCAGTATGACTGCGTAAAAAGCGTCTAAATTCTATAATCTTGTAAACCATTCATATCTATTGACATTACTATCAATACTTTAACTCGTTATTTGCTAAGAAGTGATAACTTCAAGTAATTAAGGTTTGTGTCCGAGGAGTTAAAATAATAGCGCTATGGGACAAGAAGCGTTAAAATGAGGGTAACGGCTAAAGGGCAAGCGTAGCAAATTGGTAAGTTGAATTTCAGACAAGTGTGTCATGTCAGTTGGAAACCACAAACAGTAAAACTTCGCTTAACCGTCAACAAGGACTGATGGATAACTGATCAGATGAATAGCAGAAATCTCTATAATACATAATGTACAGTAACGTAATTTCATCGTAGGCTTGGGACGAAATAAAAAAAATAACAAAAATCTTACAAAAGTGAATAATACTTATATATTGGATTTACTTTTACAAAACAATCACACACACACATTCACAAACATGGACTTCATTTTTAAGAATAGAAATGTACAGAAATGTATGTGTTGTACTATAAACCTACCTTATTTTAAAATAGTGTATCATCTCCTTTTGTGTCTAAAGGATTGTGTTTGTTGATACGCATTTTTCTAGACTAGCGGTTCTCAACCGGTGGGTTGGGACTTTTTTGGGGGTCGAACGACCCTTTCACAGGGGTCGCATAAGACCATCGGAAAACACAAATTCACTGAGGTTATGAAGTAGCAACTTTATGTTGGGGTGAGGTGGGGAGGGGGGGGGGGGTCACCACGACACGAGGAGCGGCATTAAGAAGGTTGAGAAAAACTGTTCTTTGGGGGCGGGGTGGGGCGGGGTGAGCCGACTTTTGATTTTTTTTTTAAATTACAGCTCACGTTTTCGTGCCCAGAAAGAGAGTGAATACTCTTCTCATTCATAAATCGCCAGACTGTCCTATGTTGTGGGGTGTCACGCTAAGCTGCATACAGTCGTGCTACCTAGGCTGTATGCAGTCATGGGTCGAATGTGCACTCTTTCGTGGGACGTAGGGAGGTTGGAGTTAGGGCCAGTTATGCATGTTTCGGGACCGTAAAAAGCGCTCACATCCTGTAATATAGAACACGCTAAATTACCGGCCGATGACCACAACTAGTAAAATGCTACGTGTTGTTGGCCAGTCACTGAGCGTGACAGCCTCACAACATAGCACAAGCCGTGCGACATGGCGATGTATGAATAAGAGGAGAGGTCACTCTCTTTCTGGCCCTGAAAATGTGAGATGTAATTGTTTTTATTAAGTGGGCTAACTCAGGGATTTAAGCCTAACGTAAATGCACAGTCATAATTATTTTAAGTAAACGATGAATAGCAAATAAATATAATAAAATATTTGAAATGTTTAAATTTGTAATAATATTTAAAATGACGTCCATAAATGTTTATGTTGACCTTTTGATGCCCTAGCAATTTTTCAAGGAGTGGGTCTCAGCACCCAACCCCGCCCTGACCCGCCCCGCCCCTCCCCTTCTAGAGTTATTTAATGTCTCAGTCCCCTCTACACAGGGCCACAATGAGTCCTCACATTATGGTATATATATATATATATATATATATATATATATATATATATACACACACACACATATATATATATATATATATATATATATATATATATATATATATATATATATATATATATATATATATATATATATATTGTGAGTTCCTTAGTACGGGATTGGTTAATCACAATACGCCTATGAGAAATTGTGTGGATACATTTTCTCGCATATTTTCAGATATTCATCAGTGGCACACTGGAGGAAAGAAGACAAAAAATAAATGGCAGTGGAACAAATTTGTTTCTGTTTCTGACAAAAATTCCAAAAGGCCCAAAAAGAAAAGCAAAAGCAAAAACAAACGGGCGTCTTTCAAGACGGTTAAATCGGCTGTTGAGTTTGACAGATGGTTTCCAGGTAAAACTCTCTCTCTCTCTCTCTCTCTCTCTCTCTCTCTCTCTCTCTCTCTCTGTGTGTCTCTCTTTGTGTGTATGTGTGTGTGTCCGATTGTGTGTGTATGTATATATTAAAAATAATGATTTCTGTTGTAAATTTAAATAAAGTGGACACAGACAATATATTGCAGAATTTTGTGCCTGGCAAGTTTCGTTGTATCTCGTCCGGTACACTGTGAAATCTTTTTTCGCGGAACTGTATCATTCACATTTTCAAGTTAGACCGTACGTTGAATTTCTGGTGTAGAGATGTACAGACTAACTTTACAATGCAATTTATGTTTTCAGCGATTAGATTTCATTTTTTTTATGGGGGGGGGGGGGGGGGGGGGATTCATTATATGTTGATTCAACTGTAGTAATGCACCCGACAAGATGCGTCGAAATATGTTGGGCACTTTATTGTTTATGTCTAGATTGTATATGTGTGTTTGTGGTGTATATTTTAATACCCTTGTCATAATTATAACCTAAAGCTCCCCCTTCGGGGATACTGGTTGAACGTGATGATTGTTTCCAGTAAAACAAGGAAGAATTGTGTGTGTGTGTGTGTGTGTGTATGTGTGTGTAGGTGCGGGCATGTAGGTGTGTGAATGTAAATGTGGGTGTGTAGATGTGCAAAGATAGGTGTGTAAATCTTGATGTATGCATGTAGGTGTGTGAATGTGTGCCGTAAATAGATTTGGGTATCTAGGTGCGTTAGTGTATGTACCTATGTAGGTGTGAGTGTATGTATGGAGTGTAGTGTTTTTTCTGTGTGCAGGGGAGAGTCATAGTGAAGAGCCTGATTCGTAACTAACCACACCCTACTTTATTTAAGTGATGTCATAGTGTATTTAGAATACGCTGCAGCCACTTATAAACGGATGACTCGCAACACTCGAAACGTTGACTTTTAAGAAGCATGCAGTTGGAACTCCGAGTGGTAGTGTAGTCTTTTCCGCACTTTAAAGGAAGAAACTACAGTAGAACCCCCATAATTACCCACCCTCCTATGTTGACCACATCAGGAAGTTGACCGAATTTTTATTGATGGGACACACACCACATATTATCGATGGAAGATTATCTCTAAATGTTGACTATCTGTAATTTCAATGTTGACCACTTAGACTATGACATGCAATAGTAAATGATCCACCTGTCTTAGCCAGCTTTGTGTACCTGTACTTTGTCGCAGTTAACATACTCAATGTTGAGACGATTTTGATCTAAGGCACCGTCAAGAAAGAAAGAAAGGAAGTGAAGGGGACTTCAACTTAAAGGGTTTATGCCTTGTTTAGAACTGTTGAATAATAATAATAATTATTATTATTAAAGGGACACTCTACGCTGCTTTATGTACCTCAGAATATTTGATCATGCTTAAATCACACTAATGATATAAGAAGAACTCCACAGGGGAGCATGTACAGCAGCAATCTACCAATGGTCTGTAGAAGATCCCTCGTCAACAACTGTTTCGGCCCATGAACTCCTAGACAATTTCAGAGGGTGGACCAGCTTGAGTCATGACTCTTAGGATTTGATCTGCTCCTGCTGCACGTATTAGTGGATGTAACAGACTTCAATGCAATCGGGATTCTCGATAGAGCAAGGGCTAGCATGCTTTCCTGAAAGCTCAAAAATTCTTAATTCGAAATGTATTTTTACAAAACTGATTAGGGCTTCTGCGTTGACCAAACCTAAATATTGAAAATGATATGAGAAGAGGACCGGCGTCATGTTGACAATATCAACCATCAAGAATCGACTGGTCTATTTAAAAATTATGTAACTAGCACTATAGGTCCGATTATACTCAGTGGGTATACTCAGGAAGGTACAGATGGGCTGGGTCTGAAGATAGTGGTTGGTGTCACCTAAGTTGTCAGGCATAGCGATTATCAGTTCCATTTTCGAGCCAAGGCACACATGCATGTATGGAAATTAGCAAGCTGATAGGATTGCTTGTAAAGCTACTGTAAAAGACGGACGAGCCATGGATCAGGCTGATATACTGATTGCCTTTCGAGAAGTTAGTCATTCGCGAGAACCAAGTTACTGTATATCTGCAACCATGATCAGAATGCAAGAATAGTTAGTTTAAAAGCGTGTAGCCAGACAAGAGCACTGTACAGGAAGCCAAAGAAGAGAAGAAACCTAAACGCTGATGGATTTAATGAGGAGAGGATGCGATGACTTATGGACTGAATGGCTGGATGGGCAATGAGAATAATATGTCGACTAACTAGCTATGCCTGATGTACCATTGAAGTAGAAAGGTTCCTTTACTTTTACTTAGTAAATACTACTTAAACTTGAATACACTTTTACAGAGTGCAGGCGCAGAACTAACTTGATAGACTTGTTTCTGCGTCAAGGCGCCGTCGTCGTCTGGAAGTAAAATGTTCGATTCCTGGCATGGAAACTAGATTTGGGTTTTTATGTTCTCGAGTGCATCCTTCTGCCTTATACTTCTTTCAGAGTGCCGACCAAACCATGTCTGTTTAAAAGTTAGTTGCGAATCCTTTACCTGACGTTGCAGAAACAACCCCAGAATTTTTGGGTTGTTGTAGTTTTTTTAAGGCAAATTTACCTTCTGTAGTTTGTCGTTGCTTTTTAAACGATCAGCTCTCGGTACCACTGTCGAAACCCACGCAAGACAAACCGTCTGTAGCTGGGATCGAACCAGGCACCCAGGCATCACGAAGCGCATTCACAACTCCTAAGCAACATACGATGTCTATTTAATATAGTCGTATGTAATGTTTCTTTGGCCTCAAGGGTTCCCTGTCTGTTTATTTCTTTGGAATAGGTTGGCCCTCTTTTAACAGCAAACACGCAGAACCGGCAAGTCAGAAAGGCTACGACTGTCTAACACTCTCTGATGAGTACGAAGACCCTGCCTCAGAATCCCCAGTGCAAATAGACTACTTCTATTGGAAAGCAGACAAATGTAAGAGTGATGAAGGCATTAATTTTATCTGCCAGATCAATGCGGATAAACAAGAAAAGGTCAACAATCAAGGTAAGAACTGATATTTAAATAGTGACTTGGTAAAATAGAGTAAAAAAGTAAAGACACAAAGTACAAAAGTCAAGTAAAAGTAAGTAACATCCCTTTTAACGCATTTGGAGCATCCGGCATATAGTGGTCAAATTTTTGCCCTAGCAGCCTCAACTTCTCATGCTTATACCATTACCTTGTACCAATTTTAGGTTGGGTCGACCTGAAAGCTAAAGTCAATTTTGTTAAGAAGGTTTGGGGTTGGGAGAGAGAAAAACCCTCTTCTATACGGATTTGATCTCTAGACCATTCGGTCGATAGGTGATTGTCTAGCCACAACCCTACCACGACTCCTAAATTGTTTGAAGAAAACCTTTCTTACTGTCTAATTCAATTTCGTTATCCTATCATGCCGTTATACGTTATTTAGGACTTTTAGTCTAAACCCTTATTTCTCTCTATCCTGTGCAGCCACGTCGATTCACACATAGAATCCAGTCCAGTACCTTTTGTCTGTCCCAGTAACGCTCGTTGCAGTGTTTCTCTTTAAAGTCATCATTTCCAGAACCCATATTTTTCCCATTTCAGTGACTGTTTGGTGATTCTCTTCCATCTTGGGATGGGCCTAGTATAGTGCCATCTTCTTTGTTTTATAACTGCTGATACCACTGGTTGTCCAGATAGTTTTTCTGTGTCTTCACCTGTCTTAAATGCAGGCTATTTTCCTCCAGTAATTATTTTTGAATGCACTTAGTTTCCCCCTCCCCCACCTCCACCCCTTCTCCATTTATTCGTTCACCACAAAAGTGGTAAATACGGCCAGTAACGACAGTTTTTGTTGGAAGAGTTAGTGGTTATAATTCTTTCTTTTTTCCTTAAAAAACAAATGCTCAATGCAAGTGATCATTGCATTAGTGTCGAAGACGATACATCAGCAGAGGTCATCACTATGTCACTATGATTTATTTAATATACTTAGGCTAGATATCAAAACGTCATTGAACAAATGACGTACTGTCTTGGATTAATGAAAGAGAAAGAACAAAACAAAAAACAAAAAACAGTCACATGTTCTGCGTTGCTTGGGATTAAAATAGATATAACTGAGTCTCCCTTATTATTATTTGGGTAATTTTTACTTTTTTTCTCGTAACATAGGACAAGCCCTGGGGCACACCGGTCCATGAATGGCAAGGAAAGTCACTCTCTTTCTGGGGCGGAAAACGTAATTAGGATCATTATTTGTTTAACCAACCACCAGCTAGTCATTCGGGTTTAAGTCCCAGGCCACTATTTTTAGACTCAGAACACAACATATTCCACTCAGTTGGCATCTAAACAGAATACAGCCACTATTTTTAGACTCAGAACACAACATATTCCACTCAGTTGGCATCTAAACAGAATACAGCCACAATATTTCTTAGAGTGCCGGCTATGTAGTTACCCTACGAAATTGCTGACCATCATTTCTTTGAGTGCCCAAAACTCAGCGAGACTAGAAGAGTGCTATTGCTTCCTAGGCCAGACAAGTTGAACACCTTGTAAGGAGGAAAAGAACAGCTTGTAAAAACATGTAAATTCCACTACATGGTATGGGGTTAAAGCTGGATCGATAACAACAACAGCAACATTTACCAGAATGATCTCTACTGTTTAAAGGTATCTGACTTATTGCGATTCTGTATCCTCAGATTGCTACAGTGACAACGGGTCTTCTTACAGAGGCAACGTTGAAGTTACAGAGTCAGGTTCTCACTGCCTTAAATGGTCTTCATCCACCGAGGTCAATGAAAAAACGCATCCGGGAAAAGTGAGTTTTCCAATACACAATAATATAGCAAACTAAAGGATCCTTTACTACGACCTCAAGCGTAGTTCACATCTAGGGCTGAACCTATATTATAAAGACCAGTTGGCACTCGATAGATTATGTGGTTTACATCAAGCCGGCCGGCTTTACTTACCAGCACTGTGCCGTATATACCTTTAAAGCTGGGTCGACCTGGGAGCTAAAGTCATTTTTGAAAAATATCCAGCTTCCTCAGGATGTGAACCCACAATCTTCTGATCTGCAGGCGTGCGTTTAGTTTCTACGCCACGGCGGCTCTCGATACAGAATAAGAGGAACACAATAATGTTTTTATTTTTGTAAAGTGCTTGTCTGCAACAGGAGTGACGGTAAAATAAGAGCACATTGGTTGTAGGGAAGAGTTTGGGGTAAATAGGATGAGAGGGTGGCAAAAAACTTACAAAAATGTTCCAGTGAACAAGGGGGATTAGCTTAAGGGTCTTATTCCTTGTAGTAGTAAGTAAGATTTACCCCACCAGGACATCACACAGAGCGATAAACATCCGCTGACACAAAGTGCCACCATTAGGATGAGGACCACCAGTGGAGAGGTGCCGGAAACCGCGTTCACTTATCATGTTAAATAAGGCCCCCGACAACAGCAGAGTGGGGCTTCAAAATAACACCAAAAAAAATTAACGGTTGTGTCTACCATAATACAGCGGTTCTCAACCTGCGGGTCACTACCATTCTTTGGGTCAAACGACCCGTTCATAGGTGTCGCATAAGACCATCGGAAAACACATATTCATTGAAGTCATGAAGGAAATAAAGTGTATCGTAGAGGAAACTGTTAGGGGGGTTGAGAGCCACCGACGTAATCCTTGTTTAAATGACTAATATTTTATATGCAAGGACCTCTTTGAAATTGTTTTGGCTGCAGTGGTCCCACATTGCCTTCACCTCCAGGCTACGGAGTCTATGATAGCCATCATTTAGAGTTGAGTTAGAGCAATGGCAAGGCGCAGTGGCAAGACGACTGAGTGGTGATTTAGAGGTTTGGGCCCCAATCTGCAACTCGAGACGAGATTTTCTAATCGAACTATAGCTCGATTATAAAATCCCGATCAGCATAAAGAAACATCTCACACAGAGCATATTCGTTGCAACTGTATGCTACCAGTGCCAGACACTGGTCAGTCATAAAATCAGAAATGAATTTGAGTAAGCATAGAAAGTAAGATGTCTGATAGGGTTTGCGGTAGTGATTACAAGAGATAACGCAGCAATGAGGTTATCACAACCAAAAACACACAAAAAACAGCAAGTAAAATGGTTTTCCGACTAAAACAGAAAGCCTTAGTAAATTAGTTGGGTTATCATTATTGCACTGCAGACATGTCCATAGCGGCTCAGATCCTCCCCTCAGTATGAACCCCAACGTCAGGTGGCTATTACTACCAGTTTTATGTTGATTAACAAGTCGTCTGATGTGCCTGGTGTGTGTCTATTTTTTTTTTTTTTTTGCTATGCCGATCTTAACTCCCAAGTCTATCATTATGGCGAGTAATGTGGATTCACTTCCCCCCCCCCCCCCCTCGAGTCTTCCACCCTTTCCATTTATTTCTTTGAGGGCATTATGTTTTTGCGCCAATTACTCAGGAAAAATCATTTACTGTTTTCTTATTGTTTACAGGGTTTAAGGGATCACAGCTTCTGTCGCAATCCTGATGGTGACACCAAGCCCTGGTGTTGGGTTAGCCATGTTGGTCGCAAGTTTGGATTTTGTAGACTGCCCAAATGTTCTGAGGCGGATGCTTCAGTAGAGACTACAACTGCCATGTCAGGTATATTGTAGGACAATACAGTTGTTTCAATGCTCGGTCTTTGAAGGTTTAAATAGCGAGGATACATTTGGAATATGCTAGCGCCCATAAGGACATTAATAACGTTAGTTACAGATGGGTAGAAGATGTCAAGGTCGACATCGACTACGATGTAAAGATGTGTCTAGTAGTGAAAAGGCGGGTTTACTGATTTTACTCGGTGCAAGTTTTGCTCCTAAAAAATAACTGTTGTATTATCCTCAGCATTTAGACTGAAAGCATACGGTTCCTTCGCACTTGGATTCGATTGAGTGTATGGCGTTATACTGTAAGCTGTGAATTTCATTTGAAATGCTTTTCGAATGTGCCCAGCGTGGTTTCTGTTGTGAACTGCAGATTCAGAAAATGGCAAGCAGCCTGCGGAAATGTATCTTCTGGTGACTTACGCGATTAATTGTGTGTGCAACAATTGATCTATTAAAACTGCTGCCAACGACGATGACATGTCTAGTGTCGGATTGTTTGTATTGGCACTTCTTACGACTGCCCTATGCATTTAATATGCGTGTATGCTATTGAATTTGTTGCAAAAAAAGTGAAGAAGAAGAAGAAGAAGAAGAAGAAGAAGAAGAAGAAGAAGAAGAAGAAGAAGAAGAAGAAGAAGAAGAAGAAGAAGAAGAAGAAGAAGAAGAAGAAGAAGAAGAAGAAGAAGAAAAAGAAGAAGAAGAAGAAGAAGAAGAAGAAGAAGAAGAAGAAGAAGAAGAAGAAGAAGAAGAAGAAGAAGAAGAAGAAGAAGAAGAAGAAGAAGAAGAAGAAGAAGAAGAAGACCGTATGCAGATTGTATTTGCGGAATTTGCATTTGGCCACAGTTCAAATAATACACCTCTGATTGTATTATCATTAGTAGCCGAGAAGTCGTTACCTTAAGGGGTGCAATTTTTCGTTACTTTGAAGCCAAAACTATGCTGTTGCCGGGGACCCTAATATAACCTTACAGTTGAACGGGTTTTCCGGGACCTCTTCACAGGTGATCCTCATCCGCATACTAGCACTTTGTGTCACTGGGTTTTTATCGCTTTGTATGATGTCCTGGCTGGGTAAAACTTACTTACTTGCTATTATCATTAGTGCCCCTCCCTCCCCCCCCCCCTTTTTGGAAAAGGGGGGGGGGGGACAGCTGCTAGTGTCATCAAGGACTGAAAAAGCTCGCTGGGCAAAGAGTATTTTTGTTTCCTAAGTTAATTTAGGAATTTCTTTTTAAGCATAAATTGCATTTGTGTTTTCTGTGTCAACAACTGCATTTAAATCAATATTTTGTTTTCTTGTGTCCTTAGCGCTTTCACCGTTAAATTGTCCAGCCAAAGAATTTTACTGTTCCAGTCAAAAAATGTAAGATTTATTTACCAGTTTATTTACAAGCACAATTTTATTTTTTAAATTTAGTTTTATGTGCCTGTTCCTAATTATTTTAAATATTGATAGAAATTACGTCTTTTATTACGAAATGTATTGACAATATTATATCATAATTCTTTGACGGTGTAAAATATTTAGGGGAATGATTGCCCATTTGTCGACCGCATGCATTGGTATTCATAATGTCGAATCCCTGTTACGCTTTTATAGAAGCGACATTTTTCTATGGACCCGGCACAAATGTGACTCGGTTAGGTTCAGCTCTCTGAACTCAGAAACATTAAGTGTTACACAAATGGTGCTCGAAATTCACCTATAGGGAGAGGCAAGATGAGATGATTCAAAAACAGACATCAAAGCATTTCCATAAACACTCCGTCTCAAATTCAACTGCCAAATCAGAGTTCCAATAACAATGGTGCCAGTAGCACTCTGATTATATGTCCCTCTTGCCTGTCCTCTGAGCGGCCTTATCATGCAATGGTATTCCACCAAGTTGTGCAGAGCTAGCCAGTCTTCCCGCTTGTTCATTTCCCAATACACCGGCATTACCGTAGAAAAGATCCAGACAGTGCTCTTCAACCTTGACCTCCGAGCCAAGTTGAGATATTTCCACGTCAATGTTCAGCACAATTCAAACGGTCTGGTGGTAATTGGGGCTAAGCTAAGGCTAATATTTCTTCCCCTTGTTTTTTACCATAGCACAATTCTCAGAATAATGCAGCAGGAATTGTTTGCAGTATCTGGGTGTTACTCGATACTCGGAAAAAAAGGGGGGGGGGGGGGAGATGAATAGCTAACCAGATGACATCAGAGAGGAAAATATTTTTTGAAGAGCACTATGAACTGACCACACGTTACAAGTGTTTAAATATTTATAATCACCGTCTGTCATCATTGCTGTTATTATCGTGATATCATCATAGTCCTTTTAAAAATGTCTTACGTCCATCTTTATTGTGCATCAACACTTTTTCTGTTAGTATTCTAAAGGGGATTACCTACATATAGCATTATCTTTCTGATGCGTTCCTCTCCTTCCCTTTTAGCCCCAGCATATCCTTTACCAAGAAGCGGTCTCTTTTATTTAGTCCTAGTACCATAATTGTCTCATTTTGATGTAATTCAGTTCCCCACCCACCCCCGTCCCCCTTTCCCTATTCCTCAATAATTTCAGTATACGTGGGTAATGTTAAAACCAGACTATTGTAGCATCCTCTTACAACATGGTCATTTCTGTATACAAATCAGGACAGAAAGGGACATCATTTCACTCCACAAGACTAATTTTGTATATAAAAATAACACCGTACTTCAAAACCAATCGGCAATCACTGTCTGGGTAACTAGACAATATTATTTCTGCCATTTTTCTTTTTCGTTTAATTTCCAGAAAATAGTTTAGTACAAGGATCGTTCCTTTGAAACCCGTTCGTAATTGTGTGCGTTGAAAATGATCATGTTATAGTCATGTGATACGAACTGATCAATGAATGAAAAGACACGTGCGTATCATCTCATGATACATAGGTTATGTTTCTGTACATAGAGAAAATAGCAATAATGATCCAGAATACATACTTTTACTCTGATCATCCTAGGATGCCCGCCTCGTAGAGAATTCCTGTGGGATTGTCATTCAAGTTGTGACTCTTTGAGCCGCACTAGTGGACACACTTTTAACCATCGGCCCTAAAATGGGGGGGGGGGGGGGAGGAGTCAGTAAATTAATAATATATAAACAATTTGTTTAGAATCTCTTTCATGGAAATGTTTCTCTCTTGTTGTGCCAACAGATGTATTCCAGGAGACTTCCACTGTGATAATGAGCAGGACTGCATGGATGGCGAAGACGAAGTCAGCTGTGGTATGTCAGTTCTTATACTGTTAACATGCAAATTAGATTTTATGTAAACAGTCCATGTGGATGATTGTTGGTACTATTGAACTAAATTATAGACTCTAGGAGGAGTAAAACAAATGGTATGAATAAGACGGATTTGGTTACAAAGTGATAGCTAACAATATTTGTAAAAACAAGTCGACCCACTCAATGAATGATGTCGCCAGTACCACAGTTTCCGCCCTTTCTTCCTTGGTCATTTTCAGATACTTATTTAAGAAGAGTCAACCTAAGATGTATGGTACTTTATAAGAAAACACCTGAATGGGGATTTAAACACATGTCTACCGGGTCGGCAGGCAAATGTGCTAACTAGTAGTGCACCACTGTGTTTCAAACACAGTCATAGAATGTAACATGAATATGTTCTAATCTTCCTGTGTTTATGTTCTATGCCAGGAAGCTCCCTCAGTCGTGATCACTCACATCTGTTACTTTGTTCATTCGTTGGGTACGTGGTTATTATCAGCATATATCGAATCCTCATTAACCCCCAGAAAGAGGTACTTTACTTTTACTTTCAATCTATCTTGAGATCACGATACACACACACACACACACACACACACACACACACACACACACACACTTGTGATTGTAACTGACTCAGAAAGCATGCCGAAAAAGGTGGAGACAAGCATGCTTCGTGCAGTGGCATGCTTTGCTTCGGAGGTCAAGGGTCAAGAGCATTTTCTAGATCTTTACCCCGGCCTATGCCGGTGTGTTGGGAAATGAACAGACGGATATATTGGATGGCTCTGCACAGCCTGGTGTAATATTGACACATGATAAGGCAGATGTGGTTAAGGCCTTATGGGAGAACGTGTACAATTTGGAACAGCAAACTGGTCATCACAGTCTGGTGAGAGTGATGCAGCGAGGAGTGACGAGGGGCTCTGGCTGATGCTCGTCGCTCAGAGGAAAGGCAAGACCGAAGTACAATCAGACTGCTACTAGTACCATTAGAAATGGAACTCTGCACTGTCTGCTGAGGATGGGAACGGAGCGCTTATAGGAATGCCCCGAGTGCTGTGATGTCTATTCTTGAACTCAATCAAATCAACGTTCATTCCGTTAAATGTCGAATGTTGGATTGTGTATACCAAACCTGACACAGAGTGTCAACGTCTTCCTGCAAAGGAGCACACACTGGAAAGAAAACTGCTCTGACTTATCCTAGAACAAGGAAGTGCAGCCTGAAAACAGTGTTTTGGCAGTGTCTCTCTAGATTTAGAAGTATAATTCGCTGCACAGATTTATCGAGTACAGTTCTGAAAGTCCCAGGAATTATCTTTAAAAAGAACAAACTGAGAACAAAGCCCGAATCAATTCCTACTTGGTAGGTAAGTAGGTAAGTTGTACCCCGCCAGGACATCACACAAGCGATAAACACCCCGTGACACAAAGTGCCACCATGCGGATGAGGATCACCCGTGGAGATGTCCCAGAAACCCCTTTTAGGCGTGGGGCCATATTTATGGCCCGGCTATATTCAGGGCCCCCGGAAAAAGCTTGGGTGGGGCTTCAAATAAAAAAAAATTGCATCTTTCATGGGGATGACTTTTGACATTGTGTATGAATTCAACTTCTACTTGGTACGGTGAGCATCGAGACACTGAGATGGCTGCTGCATCGGAGGACGGAACACGAATGGGTCGAAACCATGTACTATGATGTCAATATAGATAACAAGTAACAAGAACATGCACGCTGCCACTGAGAAGACTTGAGGGGGTGATGACCTAAGGTCCATCCCCTTTCCGGCTATACATATTTGCTTTTTCTTCTTCTTTTTCGCATTCGGCTATAAACTCGACGCAAAAGTTCTGGTTGTTCGTCCACTTCTAGACTCTAGTCCTGTTCCATAAACTGAGTGTTGCGTGTACATCCGGTTCACATGTCTGATTTATTTGCATGCAAACTGTTGGCTCCTTGCCTCTCAGGCAGATGTACTTTGACGTCGAAGGAAGCTCCCAATTAGTCGACTCTTACGACATGCTTTTTGGCAGGAAGTGGATCTATTCTTGTTTTCCCCCACAATGGGGCCCCGGAATGGTTTTTATCTTTTTATGAAAAAGGGTGTCGGGGCTGAGAGGAGCTAATCCTAATTTAAGAACATAATAATAATAATCATCGAAGCCACCTGTGGTCTAGCGGCTAGACTCTCGCCTGCGGATCGGAAGGTCGTGGATTCGGTTCCTGAAGGGGATCGGACTTTTTTTTTCAAAAATGACCTTGGCTCTTAGGTCGACCCAGCCTTGAGTGGGTACCAGGCGTAGTCCTGGGAAGTAAATGCGGCCGGTGTGATGCTGACCACATCATCCACCAAGGGGCGTTTAGTCTATAAAATATACGTCTAGTCCTATTTACCCAATACGCCTGAAGGGCGTGAATAAGGGTCCTTTACTTTTTTACTTTTATTTTTTTTTAAATAATTCAAAATGGTAACTGTATATAATATATACATTTGAAAAAATATTAGTTGTAATAATAAATATCTTTAACGAGAATGTCTAAACATGGTTAAAGGGGCTGTTTATAAAATTATTAGCTCAAAACCCGCCCTTCCTATTTTTGTTTTGTTTGAGGTGGGAGAGAGAGGTCAGATTGCATGATCCCCTAAGTTTTAGGTCAGCTCTGTGGCTAAGTCGATGCGAACGCTTCGTAATGCCGGGATGCCGGGTTTAATCACAGCTGCGAGCCATGCGCCTTGCGTTGGTTTCGACAGTGGTATCAAGAAAGCCGACCATCCAAAAAGTAATGGCAAACTACTGGATGTAAATTTGCCTAGAAAAACCACACAACAGCCACGGGCTGTCAGGGTTGGTTCTGCAACGTCCTGTAAATGATACGCAACTAACCTAACCTAAGTTTTAGAGCCCCTTCCTGAGAATGAGTGATACATTCACTTGTTCCTTGAAACATTGCGTTCTATTTATAAATACATTTTCAAAAACACTACCAAGTGATTTGATCATCCTGAGTATAACTAACAAGCAGCATTTTAACACTTACAGCTAACGGTTTTCTGAATAAAAGAAACCGTTTCTTTCCTTGAAAGCTGAACTAAACCCGTGTAATGACGTAACATTGTGGTTATTGTTTTAGGGTTAGGACAGAAAGTGAAAGTACCCCTGTCTACATGTTCAGGCGTATTGGATATATGTTGCCAGCCCTGTATTTTTATAGTTTGTACTCGAACGGTTATATGGTAATAATATATTTGATGCCGTTAGATCAACAACAACAACAACTACAACTACTACTACCACCACCACCACCACCACCACCACTACTACTACTACTACTACTACTAACTACTACTACTACTAACTACTACTACTACTACTACTACTACTACTACTTCTTCTTCTTCTTCTACGCTTTTCTTTTCTTTCTTCTTCTACTACATTGAAATTTTCGAATGAGATGAAAGAATCGTCTGTGTGATGTTCCTAATATGTTGTATAAGTTGACCTGAATTATAGGTAAACACATTTAGGAGTATATAGCAGTTTTTTTTTTACTGTGACTCGTTGTGCCATATATTGTTTTTATCTGAATCCATTCAGACAGGAACATGTCTTTTGTAAGTAACACAAGTTAAGGACATACACTAATAGCTCAGGAACTGAAAGAGTTAAAAATATGAAAAAGATATTCACTTTGTATTACAATTCCATTTCAGTCTATGCTTTGAATGACTTCAACAAAATACCAAACTCTTCACTAAGTGTGTATTACAACAGGGGCCTATATGCGTCTGAATCGTACAAAGATGTCTCAGATGAAATGGTAAGTGTATAAGAGGACGTGTAGCTAGATGAGATTTATGTCACATGTATTCATATTCCCTTAGGAAAGGAATCAGATATTTGGAAAACTGTATTGACAAAACTGAAATGGTAAATTACAGTGCATTGTGAAAAGAAATATGGATATTTACAAAATGTTGCTTGCTTTTTTAACTCGTTCGGTACCAAGAAATCGCCACGAATGTTTGTTAAGACATAACTTATGTATTCTCAAAATGGTTTTATTAGAGTTGTTTATACCCAAGCCGTTGTTATATTAAAACAAAACAAACACAACATTACTAAACATTTTATGTCCTTTCCTTTCTAAATAAGTAATATATATGTTGGTTTATTTGTTGTTTTTTTTTTTTTTTTTTTTTTTTTTTGTTGCATTATTTACTGAAAGCTCTTACTATTTATTTACAGTATGTTTAATTTTAAGCGTCGGCTCTGTGGCTAAATCGATGCGAACGCTTCGCAATGCCGGGGTGCAGTGTTCGATCCCAGCTGCGGGCCATGCGTCTTGCTTTGGTTTCGACAGTGGTATCAGGGGCTGACCGTCCAGAAAGCAATGACAAACTACAGGACGTAAAATTTGCCCAGAGAAACCACACAAGAGCCAGGGGCTGCTGGGTTTGGTTCTGCAACGTCCTATAAAGGATACGCAACTAACCTTAATTGTTTTCATATTAACAGGGAAGAAGAGATGTAACATCAATGGTTGTTTAAAATCGAAAAAGTTGAAAAATTAATGTGACAAAGTGACATCATTAAAAGAGGGGCAGAGTACTTGAGGGATCTGTAGGATGATAACAGACCAGAAGTATATTTGCAGGACAGCAGTGAAAGCCCACCAATACTGGCTTCAGAAGTTGAGGTTGCATTGCATCACAGGAAGAAAGGAAAGGCACTTGGGTCAGACAACATTTCATTGAAATAAATAGGGCTTTGCGATATTTTTTATTTGATATAATAACAGAACTGCTAGATGACATTTATAATAGTGGGTGCATTCCTAATTGCCTACTAAAATCTGTATTTATGGTTTTGGAAAAAAAATACACTCTTTAAACTGTGAATACTTTCGCACCATAAGTCTAATGAGTCATGTGACAAAAATGTTACTGAGAATAATTTTCAGAAGAATAAGAAACAAGATTAAACTAGAAATCAGCGAAGAACAGTGTGGATTTATAGAAGGAAAAGGTACAAACAATGCCATGTACATTCTCATGACTCTTCGGAAAGAGCTATAAAAATTTGAACATGTATTAACATTAAAGAACATGTATTATTGGCAGCAAACAGCAGATATACGAATTAATAACCTTTTGAGAACATTTCAGAGCACAAAGAGGAGAGTAAGACAAGAATACGTACTATCACCTGACTTATTTTAAATATACAGTGAATATATCATGAGATTATGCCAGGGAGTGTGATTGGTGGTCATAACATAAACAACCTTCGCTATGCCGATGACACCGTCTTGACAGCGACAAGTCAGAAAGAACTATAGGAATTTATAGATTCGATTGTGGTAGAAAGTGATAAAATAGGCCTCATTTTGAATAATGGAAAGACAATAAGTAATGGTGATTTCCAAGAAAAGAATCGTGACTAAATGTGTAATAAAAGAGGCGTTATTTTAGGATAAGTACAGAAATTTAAGTATCTATGAACATGGATAACATCCGGTGGAAGATGTATCAGAGATAAGGAATAGAATAGGACAGGCCAAAATTGCATTTTACGAAATGGAAAACATTTTTGCAATAAATCCATATTATTGAGGATTAGGAAAAGAATTCCCGAACGCTATATTGAGCCAGTTTTAACATACAGCTGTGATGCCTGAACAATTAATAAACAAGCCGAACAATATCTTGAGGCCTCGGAAATGTGGTTTTACAGCAGAATCCCTTGGACAGCCAGGATGAGCAACACAGATGTTTTGAAAGAGGCGAGTGTTCGAATTTATCACAAACATCAGAAAGAGGCAGTCATCATTTTTTTTTCATGTTATGAGAAAAGGGAAAAGGGAACATGCTGTGAGCACTCGAAAGATCTGTGGAAAAAGAGACAGAGGAAATCTTTCTACAAGGGACTGTGATAAACATTCTGGGTGTTTTTCGTTGGCACAGGAACGGAGCAACTATGGGGTGACCCGTTTGCTATGAAGCTGAAACTAAGATTACTAGATTACCAGACAGAGGAAGACAGCGTGAGAAGATTCTTGGCAGTTTTTTGTCATGGCATGGAGGGGTGTCAGCACACGAACTGATACACAGTTGCGGATCGCAGATTTTGACATGACCTCCTACGCCAGGCGGCAAGGCACTTGATAATGATCTTGTTTCATTTTAAATGGAGTTGCACAGTATAACACAACGGTAACACATTAGTTTTCATCAAGACGTATATGTTTCCATATTTTCTCAAGACCTACTCAACCTAACATTGGTAGCAAAGAAGTATTATTGAAAACACATGTGATCAACGTGATGCTAACCATATAATCTGGCAAGTACTTATGTGAGATATAAAATAAAATTGGCCTAATGCCACACAGATTAGGAGTTATTGGCCTAGCGATTAAAGACGCTGGACTTATTCGAGAGACAAATGTTCGAATCCTCAGTGTCAATGGATTTGGGGTAATCTTCAGGCGCATGACCTCCTGTCACCAGCTAGGTCAACCAAAGCTGGCCTGGCGTTCTTCCTACTTTATAGATATATAATTAATAAGAAAGCAGTGTATCGACCGGCACTTATAGAAAGAGGCAGAAAGATAGAAGGACACACTAGTCAACATACAAATCGAAAGCCATAGTTACCGTGCCTGGAATCGAACCTTTCACCCCCAAATAACGTGTGCGCCTCACTATGAAAACAAGTGTACTAAGAAAATAGCCAAGTAGGCACCCCCAAAACTACGGAATACGAACAGAATTCATCTCAAACCACTGAAATGGCACTATAGGTTACATATATTTATATTAACGAAGCATAAGTGGAATAACAAACACATCAACAATTTACAAACACAGCAGACTATTGCTCTGTCTAGAATACACAAACAGTTAAGAAAACTATTTGATTGGTAGGTTCCATTGTATTTCAATTATTTCTTTTTCCATCAGCCTTAAAGTTACATTTATGCGTGTCCTTTACAAGACACACAAATAAAATCCTCATGTGCACAGTCGTGGCGACAGCACTTGCTATGTGGCCCTAAATCTTCAGACTCCAAGACCCCTCTCCCCCACCCCTTTACATCATAGAAGAGGTAAATACAGGCAGTATTTGCTGTTTTTGTAGTACATTGATCAAGCGTAAGTTAACTATTCTAGAAGGATGTTACGTCACTCATCCAGACCATGCAGAGAACCGTCCTGTTTTTTTTTTTTTTTTTGTCTCTGGTTTGGGTTCTCACCATCTGTGTTTGTTTACTATCCCGTCCCGATGGCCAGACGCCACTGCAGCAGGACTACATTTTGATTTTAGTCAAAAGGCAAAAAAAAAAAAAAAAAACCCTACAAATGATACAAACAAACATTAAATATAGTTTGAAGACGTGAGATAATGAACAAATGGCCAGAAAGGATTATTCACTTTCTTACTGCTTATAATTTTTAGTCTTATTTTTCAGTGTGCCAAAAAGTGCGTTAACAGCAAAAAATTCATATGCAGATCATTTGTATATGATGCTATGCGAAGAACATGTGATTTGTCAAAACTGAATTCTTCTACTGTATTCAGCCGAATTGTGCCATCAGTCGTGTATGACTATTATGAGCTGAAGAAAGAAAGTAAGTTCAAAAATTTTATTTGAAAATAGCTTTTTACTTAACTCTTTCAGTCCCAGGTGCTTTCAAAATAGAAACCCAGTTTGGCAAAATAACTACAGTGAAAAAAGGCATCGCTGTATGGCTTTCAAAGTTACAGCATACAACTGTGATGTATTTAACAAATTTGGTCAGATTTCTTTTGCATTACCAGACCAAACATGAAATAATAGTAACACACCAGGTGTTGGCTTGATACACAGCGACGTAATCTGAGCTCTCCTCATAAGTTGCATGGGACAGAAGGAGCTCAGTCTTTCTCCATCAGCATTAAAGTTACATTTATATCATGTCCTTTACAAAACTATTTAAAAAAAAAAAAAAAAAACTCTTATCTGTACAGTCGTGGCGACAGCACTAGCTATATGGCCCTAAATATGCAGGCTCTAAGGCCCCCCCCCCCCGCCCCGGCCCACGCCTACGCCACTAAAGCGGTATTTACAGGCAAAATTGGCCCTTTCTGCGGTACAATGAGCCAGGAGCAAGTTAACTATTCACAACAAGGAATTGAAGTGCTCAAGGAGAAGAATACATTTGAAATGCGCTGTCTCCACAAGGTCACTAACAACGTAAGAAGAGACAGGGTTACGAATACCAGCATTAGAGAGAAAGTCGGAATCAGACCATGTCTGGGTTACACTGACCAAACTGCATATGAGAAATTTTACAGCAGTACATATAGGAGAAAGGCGAGAGGGAGACAAAGAAAGAGATGGATAGATGATGTAGCAGAAACCTGCAAAAAGGTTGAACAAATTAATCACCCAAGCCACCTAAGAAACGCAAGACAAATATATACAACCACGACACTGGGCTACAATCTGGTATCAATGAGATGACAAAACCACGACACTGGGCTACAATCTGGTATCAATGAGATGACAAAACCACGACACTGGGCTACAATCTGGTATCAATGAGATGACAAAACCACGACACTGGGCTACAATCTGGTATCAATGAGATGACAAAACCACGACACTGGGCTACAATCTGGTATCAATGAGATGACAAAACCACGACACTGGGCTACAATCTGGTATCAATGAGATGACAAAACCACGACACTGGGCTACAATCTGGTATCAATGAGATGACAAAACCACGACACTGGGCTACAATCTGGTATCAATGAGATGACAAAACCACGACACTGGGCTACAATCTGGTATCAATGAGATGACAAAACCACGACACTGGGCTACAATCTGGTATCAATGAGATGACAAAACCACGACACTGGGCTACAATCTGGTATCAATGAGATGACAAAACCACGACACTGGGCTACAATCTGGTATCAATGAGATGACAAAACCACGACACTGGGCTACAATCTGGTATCAATGAGATGACAAAACCACGACACTGGGCTACAATCTGGTATCAATGAGATGACAAAACCACGACACTGGGCTACAAATCTGGTATCAATGAGATGACAAAACCACGACACTGGGCTACAATCTGGTATCAATGAGATGACAAAACCACGACACTGGGCTACAATCTGGTATCAATGAGATGACAAAACCACGACACTGGGCTACAATCTGGTATCAATGAGACGACGAAACCACGACACTGGGCTACAATCTGGTATCAATGAGATGACAAAACCACGACACTGGGCTACAATCTGGTATCAATGAGATGACAAAACCACGACACTGGGCTACAATCTGGTATCAATGAGATGACAAAACCACGACACTGGGCTACAATCTGGTATCAATGAGACGACGAAACCACGACAGTGGGCTACACCTTGGTATCAATGAGACGACAAAAAGAAAAAAAAAGGAAGAATTACAATCTTGCCAACCTCTCTTCCCCCCCCCCCCTTTTTTTCTTTTTTATGTCATGAATAAGGTCCTTTGTTTGTTAATAAATTACCAGTGGCACATCAGGAATGTGGTCATATGTGTGTAGACTAATCATTTTGGTTAGATGAAGTGGTTATCACGCCGACCGCCTATACTTCCCATGAAATATTGTTATTTTTCTTTAAAAAAAAAATAGATTTTTCTTTATGTAATCAACAGCAGGCTGTGGTGGAAAGTTTCAATGTGACAGTGGGAAATGTGTTGAAAAAAGTTCTCTCTGCAACGGAAAATATGACTGCAAAGATAAAACAGACGAACAAAACTGTGGTAAGAATGTGAAACGATGATTGATTTATATGTATTGTGAACGTTCATATTTGTTATTATCATGACGTGGGGAGAGCAAGATTCACTGCTTCAATAACAAATAACTTTACAGAATAGTATAACAAATTTTATTCTTTTTTTTAAAAGTCTGTCTCACATACTTACTGACTAACTCGCTAGCTCGCTCACTCACTCCCTCACCCGCCCACTTACCCATTCATTCTCTCTCTCTCTCTCTCTCTCTCTCTCTCTCTCTCTCTCTCTCTCTCTCTCTCTCTCTCTCTCTCTCTTCCATGCTGTTCATTTCCTAAGATCATACCTTCAGTCAGCTCACTGTAAGGCCTCTATAGACTAATTAACAACCAGTCAGTTTTTGTAGTGAAACACTCTCTCGCCAGCCGCTCTTAGTCGCTTACTACGAAATGCCAAGGAGATTCCATTGCTATATTATTCTTAATCTACATTATACTCATGCAAATTGTCAGGGCCCTTTAGGGGCGAGTGAACATTGCGGAGGCACAGATAGATCATTACGGTTTGGCGAGAATGGCGCTACGAGGAGTTACCATGGGATCTGGCAGACGCTCAATGCCTAGGGAAAGAGCGAGATGCATATACAATCAGATAGTTACTGTTGCCAGCGAAATTGCAACTCTTCCTTTGCTGCTGATCGGAGCGCTTATGGGGGTCTTCCGAGTGCTGTTGATTATTAATTCAACATTCAACACACTCATGCAGTTCCAGGGCCAGGTATAGACAAACTGCTCCCTCCCCTCCCCCAACAAGCATGCCGTAAAAGGTGACGATTCACAAGTAAGTAAAATCTTTCACCACACCCACACCTTCTCCTACATGCAATTAACTAGCTCATGTAACATTTATTCATATATATCACCCTAGTGAAACAGTTTTGTATCTACCTCTATATGACTAGAAATACAAGTGCGGCTGACCGGTGGCGATGAACATTCGGGAACCGTGGAGATCACATACAGAGGAAATACCGGTGTTATCTGTGATGATGAATGGTCATTAGAGGATGCTACAGTTGTCTGCAGGATGCTGGGCTATAGGTAAATCATACAGGCAGCTTTTATAGGATGCATCAGATTGAAAAGAATGTTGAATAATTATCAGTTCATATTGTGTTAATTTTCAAATAACTGACTTTGCCAGAAAATAAATTACATATGTATTGGAAAATGTGTGGTGTGGTTTTAAAGCTTGTACCTAAAAATATGGGTTAATGGGGGGAAAAAAAAAGGGGGGGGGGGGGTGAATAACAACGACAACTAATGTCAAATAAATATATTAATTTACTTGAATTAATATGATATTTTAAAACTTACGCATAGAACTACACAATACGGTGTTAGAAAAGGAGCTGGCTAGATTACAAATGTGGATTTGTGGGTTGGGGGGGGGGCGGGGCGGGAAAGGGCTTAAATATTTTGTAAATGCTCGTTACTATTACTGTAAATAGGAAGTTGTGTTTAGCCCTACATGAACTTCGTGCAAAATATTGTGTCTTCTATATTTGTATCTAGCAGAGGTGCAATAAAAGCAACAGAACGAAACTTCTACAAATATCCACTGAATAATGCCAACATCATTCTGGACGACGTCAAGTGTAAGGGGAACGAGTCGTCTATCAGGAACTGTGATAAACTCACTGACAGTCATGACTGTCTTGTTTATGAGATTGCTGGAGTGGTGTGTCAGGTTTCTAAAGGTAATGTTAGGTGGCTGGCTTACAACAGGCTTTTTTTACCTAACATATCTTTTTTCCTCTCAAGACTTAGGTATATCATTATCATCAGAAGATACCTCAGTGCCTATGAAGACATTTGAATGGAGAAAGAACTGCACAAAGAAAAAAACTGTTTACATCTAAATATAAACTATTATACATAAACCAAATTGAAGGCCAAATGGCACCAGTACAGAAAATGCAAGCATGTGAGTGTGAACACAAAAAGAACACTGTTTAAAACAATATTCTTATCAATGTTATGCTATCAGTGTCAGACATGGACACTCCTTCAGAAGACAAGAAAAAAGTCACCACAGAAATGAAATGTTTATGTACTATGCTAGGTGTAATGAGGAAAGAACGATTATATCAGAAACAGAGTGCACAGAACTAATACTAAACTTTCTAGGTAGACAACAAATCAAATGGTTTGGCCATGTAACAAGACTGGCAGCAGACAGGGCACCTCAGAGAGCAATGTTATACAGATACGGTGGTAACAGATCCAGAGGTCAACCATGCAGATAGTAGACCACAGAAATATCAGAGACACTGAATTGTACTTTATACAAAGCAAATAGAAGGGCCTGTTCCAGAGATCTCTTCCTGCCCTGATGCTGTGAGGCATTCCAGTAGAGAAAAATACTGAATGAGAAAGCATGATAACAATATTATCAGAATATCTGACTAAAAAGAAAAACCTCATATACAACACACACAAACATACAATCAGAGATGAGAATCTCACAATTAGTGAAGGCCGTGAAAAAGATGTGGAAAACATAACATCATCAAATGCCAAAAGAAAAATGAACTTGTTGACTGCTTCTATTCCATTGGAAATGAGAAAGAAAAAATATATATACAAAATAAATATAGCATAGAGTTATTAATGAACATTCTCTTTTCAACGTGAATGTATTTTAACGTGTCCCTTTACACCATACTGAGTACTATTTATTATACAAACCTATTTTCAGTGTGTGAAGTGGAACAGTTCAAGTGCAAGAATGATTTATGTGTGGGCGCCCAAGAACTCTGCGATAATAACAATGACTGTGGGGATAACTCTGATGAAAAGAATTGTCAATGTAAGTCTTCTGTCTGTGAGAACCAGGAATGTTCTGCTTGTGTTAACAATGAATATAGGGAACTGCAGAAAGATTACATTCTTTGATGAATACAGACCTGGTGCAATAAACTTGTGACAATAGAAAACATGTTTTAGAGAACTACAGGGAAGGATTAAACAGTACATCACAAGAACAAAGGTTTGCAAATGAGGTTTTAATATATCTTAAGATAGAATAATAGTTCACTTTAGATACATGATTATCACAATTATTTAAGGAAAACACCTAAAATATATGAAACTTCACAATCCATAGACTTACAGTCTATTACACTTAACACATAGTCAGTGCAGTATTAACTAACCAGTAGTAACTGACAAGCATGAGTATCCTATATTGAAATTTAAAAAAGAAAAGAAAACTGTGCATCCTAATTATAACTGTTGAACACAACATCCTTGTTAAAATAATTACTACTACTATCTTACCGCCAACTTATTATTAAGTCACAGTTGTTGGTATCACAAAATTTTTTTTTTTGTATTAATAATAATTTCCTTAGCCTAGGAAAAAATAGAAGGATTATAGTTTAAGAAATTTAAAACATTAAAAAAAACACTCACACACATAATAATATTTATGTACTTAGTCATTTTTTTTGTTATGAGTAGACTTGAAAATCAGTGTAATGATCACTGAATAACATGTGATTTGCATATTTTAAGAGTAGAGATCTTCCCTGTAGCAACATATGACTGTAAGTCATGGACTATTCCACAATCCTTAAGGAAGAAATTAAAGGATTTTGAGCAAAGGACCTGTAAGATGATGATGATGACTTGCAAACAATCAAAACAGCACTCATTTTGATTATTAAATTATCATATCCAAAGTCCTTACAAACCTGCAGTCAGAAACTCATTATTTTTAATTTTATAAAATAAAATTATTTCAATTTTAACTGTATCTTCATTACTCACACATTTTTACAGCCATAAGCTACCAGTTAGTGAATGGTAGCACACCCAGCGAAGGTAGAGTTGAAGTGACAAGAAACGGCTTTCATGGCACTGTCTGTGATGATAGCTGGGATGATAAAGATGCAGCTGTTGTGTGTCGGAAACTGGGATTCATGTAAGTTACATATGATTATCTTAGATTAAACCTTTAGGTAAAACACTGGCATTTTTCTGACCTTTTTATTTAAATCTTTTCACCCACGTCTTGTCTTTCCTGTCTTCCAGTTGTGTGTGTGTTCCTATCTGACCTTTTAAATTTTCATGAATATTAGCCAGCTTTATAAACAGATTTTGTTGCATTTTAGTTTCTTGTAATGGATTCTTTTAGCAGGGCTTATATTACAAAGTTTCAGTTCTTAGATATTTGTAGAGTACATATTCTTCCTTTTAAGCATTCATCAGCTGCAAATTCCGGCAGAAAGTTCTATTTGTTACTCTACGTCCTCACTTTGGTCTTGTTCCAGATCTTGAGTTTTGTGTGCATAGATCTGGTATATTATATATACAGAATGCTAGTTCATCGGATCTTAGACAGATTAACACTGACTTCAGTGATGTAGTTTGACGTGTGAAGGATTTCAAATACAATTTGAAAAATCAATGCAAAGGAAAAATCAGAATAAGAATACTTGTTGTAAAGACCATCCCTTCGCATTAGCAAGCCATCTTTTAAAATTTGGACACACCTCATCCACGAACAACGCATTTGAAATCCTTCACACATCAGATAATGGCAGAACACTAAGATTTCTTTAAGGCGCCATGATTTGTTACCTCCACCCTGAACTTTGTAAACAAGAAGATATTATTCTGACACTGGCTACCCTGGTAAAACAGGCCATTGCCTTTGATTGTTGTTGAACTTGTACTTCAGTTATAAAAGATTCACTTATCTGTTTAATTTATGTAATTGTTACTGTAGTATGCACCTGACGAGATACAGCAAACTATGTGCTATTGTCAAGGAGGATAAAAGCTGGGGGGGGGAGGGAGTGGGGGGGGGGCGTGCCAGGCCGAATGAATGTGCTTATAATTGGCAGAAGTGTCTCTGCTGTTCTGTCTGGAACACAGAACATGAAGCACTCACCTACCTCTCGACAAACACCAGCAAATACCCACAGTTATAGGAAAACTCGACCCACCTGATTTGTGCGC